AAGCTGATATACTTATCATTCTGCACTTCTATTATGCACGCACACATGCATACATGTGCATCCACCCTCACGCGCCCGCGCTCTGCTTTGTTATTAATTTTATTTGCCTTTTTAGAAAGCAAATTACATTCAAATTATACATATTAATGATGTACGTTTTACAAAACTTTATATACATATGTTCTGATTAAAATATTTTAGGTGTTTTTCAGAAGGCTCTAAGTTTTCGTAAACATATCAAAAACGGAATTTAGTGCTGATAACCCAATATAAATCATATCATCTTTTTTATTTAAAAATTTTTTAGTTTGTAGGGTATTGTGCAATATTTTATAAAAGTACATACGTAGTTTTAATCTCATCGCACGTAGGCACGTAGATCTCCTTTAAAATACGGAGATATGTATGTATGTGAGCACAAGCAGCAGCTTACGAAAATCGAAATTTCTCCGCAGCAAGAACCCATGACCTCCCTTCTGTGTGAAGAGAAACCGAACTCTTCAAACCGTTTGCCTAGCTCGTACAAAATATTTGCGTTTTCGTTATTTGTGGAAAGGGTATGAAAGCGTTGGTGCGCATAGAGAAAATGTTTTCGCAATGAGCATACACACATACAGTCTCCCTTGCTATGTACATGTATTATGAGCATTTGTTAGTGATCATGAAAATAATGTCTAATATACCACCACTAACCAGAGAACACATATACCGGACATCTAGTGTAAAGCGCCACTGACCAAATATGTTGAAAAACTTTACCCAATGCACTATGGGCGATTTGTCGATTTTGGCGGCACAAAGTCTAAAAATAAAACTAGAAGCCTAATTATACTCATTCACGAAAGTGAAATGAGTATATTGATTTTGTGCAATGTCCGTCTTCCTGTCCGTCCGTCTGTCCGGGGGCGTGGCAAAACGGATAAAACTACCTCGTAGAGTTTTTAAGCTAGACCGGTAAAATTTTGCACGTGAGCTAATGTTAAGTCTACGCCTTTTAGGGGCATGGCAAATTGGACCTGAAGATATTAAGTTTATATCACCTTAAGTATAAGAGATAGAAGCAAAATTTTGACAATTAAGTTAGTAGTAGCCTCTATCGATTCCCCAAATAATATTGTTACTCCTCTTTAGGGACGTGGCTCATCAAAAAATACCCTGTAATGTTTTCATTTTTTTAGCGTTTAAGAATAACTTGTAAACGTTTGGCCAAATGGGAAGTTTTTGATCAGGCCTTGCCTTTATCTTTGTAGTATTTTCTCCTGTAAATAGCCCTCGGAACGGACGATTACGGTACGAATAATAAGTCTAATCGGCGAAGCAAATAAAAAAAGAGAAATACTAATAAACAGATCTCTCTAAGACTATTTAATAAATCACTTATCCGAATAATTTCAAGTTTTTTGATTCGAGAAAAATAATTTCCGCCTAATCAAAATCCGGTTCCTTAAAAAAGTGGAAACTACTAGCTTAAGACAGTTTTGTTAACTTTCAATATTATTCTACGCATTTCTATAATTGATTGTAAAACTTTAATGAGGCAATCAAACTTCGAATATGTAATTGAGCTTCCTTTACACTGAAAATGTTTCAAGGTATATAATAAACTCTATAGTTTAGTATGAATACAAATGTAGGAAATATTTATAAATTTTCTTTCGACGCATTTAATTTAGTTGTGAATAAGTTTAGACAGACAGCGCTCTTGGCGATTCCCTTAATATTCCCTTTTGTGAGGTGGAACATACACCTGTTGTTGCACAGTCTGACGATCGGTCCGATGGCGCGATTGGGGCTGCTGCGTCTGGGACAGGCTTGTTAGGGGCCTGTTCTGGGCGTCCGTGATGGGCAGAATATCAGATTTCAATACTTCCTCATGGTTGCCATAGCCGATGAAGAGCACCACGCAAGTATTTTCCGAGACAGCTGTGATTTCAGCTTCGTAGTACTGAAAACAGAAGACAATTTATTAATGAGTATTTCATGTTGAGCATTGTAGGTGCTGCTATATACTTACGCGCCCATCGTCCCAATACTTGGCCATGCATAAATCGCCACTCTTCCACTGCCAGGGATCTAATGGAACAGCCAGATCGAAACTTTTAGGCGGCGATGACATTGCTGGGGCCACAACTGCCGTTGGCTGTGGCGCAAGACAAGCAGTTGGCTCTACTTCAGCTGAAGAGACGTTATTTGGTTGCTGACTTGCCCACTGACCCTGAGCCGGGGTATGCGCATTTGGGGGAGAAGCAATACTCAATCCTTGACTCTTCAAAAGGCTCATGGCAAACTCATTCGCTTCCTTGGTTTGAAAGCCCATTATCTTGCTGGGATCATAAGTGTAACCATTTGGCAATTGAGTGCAATTAGCATTCGTGGGCTGTCGTGTATTCTCCTGCTGAAGTTTCTGCTGCCGTGGAGCTGGATTGCTCTTCTCAACGGATTTTCGGGCCTGAGGTAAACTGCTTTGAGGCTCAGAAGGCTGTCGGGTGGATTGACCTGCACTTTGTCTGGTACTGCGTCGATGTTCTCGTTTCGAGCTGCCTAGCTTCAAGTTGGTTGTCTCTGTTATGACCTTATTATTATATTCATCGGTGTGATTGGTAAAAGGATTGCTGGTCTTGGTAGGCGGAGGAGCAATGCCTGCTGCTCCATTCCCTTGCGTACGACGCCTATTGTGGCTGTTGTTGTTGCTGCCGGCAGTTCCATTCTCAGTGCGAGTGCTGCCATTGCGATTGCTTTGGCGCTCGTTGGTCCGACGATTGATTCCTGGATCCTTTGCAGAGCTCTCTGGCTTACTTGTTTCAATATTGCCTTTGCTGGGCGCGGGATTGGAGTCATGGCCATTGCGGATGGAGATTTTAGCATGCGGTTGCTCAGTTGCACGTGCATTGGCATCGGGCTTGCGCGCGCCTCCACTACCCGCAGCTCCGCCTCGATCGTAGAAGCTGCTGCCACTACCGACACCACGAGACGAACGCTCTTCGCGGCCAGCCCGACTGCGTGTGCCGCCCCTTTGAGGCCGGCTAGAATGACCGCCACGATTGGCAGCAAAACTGCTCGAAACATTGTTTTCAAAGCGTGTGCGCTCGGCCACACTTTGAGATTTGCTCTCAGCCAAAGACACAGCCACTGCTGCTTTATAATCACTTTCGTATTGAATGTCCAACGCCTTGTCGACATTGGATCTAGCTTTCACGTGCTCCCCGCTTATATCGACGGTTGCCTGATCCGCGCGTAGCTTGGTAGTAAGAAAATCGAAAAGTGTGGCATTTGCTGCAGGTTTTGCCGCTTCGGCCTCATCTTTTAGGCAGGCGCCACGCTTACTCTCCCTGCGTCCGCCATCGCCTCGACTGCCGCGAAAGTGCGTTTCGTTTGAATGGTCTGCCGCATCCTTTCGTCTCTTCAAATTAAAGAGAGCTCTCTCCAAATTGTTGCGCGTCGCTTGTAACGCAGCCTTGGCCTCTTCTTTACTGTATCCTTTCTCCAGAATTTTCTTTATGTTGTGGTCCACAATATTTTGACCCCCGCCTCCAAAGACCTTCTTAACAGCCGCCTTGCTTGCCATTGCGATTGCTTCGCTTCGCATATTGTTAAAGTCGTCGTTTTCCTTGCTAGGCTTGTCTTTGTCCTTGTCTGCAGCCGATGCAAGGCTTTTGAAATTGCGATCAGCATCCGCATCGATGCTCTTACCAAAAGTCACCCACGGCGGTGGAGCAGACGATCCAGTAAGTGGACGTCCGCTGCGAGCATATTTCAGCATAGTGCGGGCAAAGTCCCATTTCTCGTATAGTGCATCCACCCGTCCACCCAATAATTTAAGTTCGTTGCTTCGCAAAAGCAGAAAGCCTTGCAGCAGTTGAAGCTTCTCAGCGTGAAAGTAAATCTTTGTGCCAGGCGCCATGTTTACGTTGAGCGCTGGCACGTGTTCCAATTCAAGGGCCTGCAATACGGTTTGCCCATCGCTAAGCTCCACTTGCAAAAGCCGGGGCGCAACCTTCGACTCTTCATTGCTCTTCGGAGCCGCTATGTTTCGAACTCTTTGCACTTGCAGAACGATTCGACCTGGAATCACGCCAGAGCCTTCGTCCTTTTTGATAGGTAATGCGCCGCCACCAAACTCACGCAAGTCACGCTATAACAAAAATAATAGTTGCGATTATTAATCTGTATGCAATTACTGTTGCCGGCTTTCGTTCGGTTCTACTCACATTTATTGCAACTTCAATTATTTTGCTTGGGTCGGAGGCGTCGCTGACGACGCTTTGTAATGACTTTATTCCATTATCGGTGAAATGCCTGAGGAGATGTTGATGTCATCAAATGTCCACAGTTATATTGCTTATATTACTTACCATCCGCTAGCTTGTAATTTACTTGACAATTCCATTTTTTCTTGAATATGCAATACATATACATATGTGTACATATATTTTAGCAAGTGCAGCAAAAAACTACCCAATTTCGTCGCGCCGAATCCTAAATTCGCCGTACCCCAGAATTCGCTTTAGTAATCGTTAGACCTTAAATTATCGATGATTTGGGTATGGTTCCGCAAAAAAAGATTCAAATAGTAAAATTACTCATGTATATTAAATCAACTATATTGAATTGAAATATTCAATTACAAAGAAAATTCGACAGTTATAATTATTATAATTCTGTTTATAGATTCCTTTGTAAAAGTATATAATATTCAATCTTAAGGTATTTGGCGCCGAAGCTCAGAAAACTATCGATATTAAGTTGCAGATTTGAGCTAAATAATGCTGAAATATCTCTTATATATCAATAGAAAAATGTCTTATATTGCAACAACCAATTTTTCTGTTCATTGTTATTAAAGCAGCTGTAGGTAATGGTTCGTGGAAATTGTGATCGAAAGTAAAGAAAGTCAACGTGAAAATAAGAAGCTTAATAAATACTAAGCATACAAGAACAAGTGTTTTTGTTTACTAATTCTTGACGATATATATACATACGTATATATTTTTAGTGTCAATAGTCTAGTTGGAAAGCGCGAAAATTAAAGCGGTCTTATCAAACACCTGAAATAAATATATTACCTAGTGATAAAAAGAAGCACAACATGAATTTATCCTTTGCTGGATGCGGTTTCCTTGGAATATACCATGTCGGCGTTGCTGTCTCCTTCAAAAAATACGCTCCACATCTACTTCTAGAAAAAATTGGTGGAGCCTCGGCGGGCTCTCTGGCAGCATGCTGCCTGCTATGCGATTTGCCACTAGGTAATTTTATTTATACTTGCATATTAAAAAATGAATAAATAACCATATATGTATATATAAGAAAACTAAGCGCTAAATTAGTTGGCTCAGCTGTCGCATTGTTTAGATAGGGGCGTATTTAGATCTGTCGTTAGTGATAATATATCATAAAATACAAGACGTACATATGTACATAGAAACGATTCAGAGCCAGCTGTGAACACTCCCATTTGGGGGCTCGTCGCTGCGGAAACGTAAGCATATTAAAAACAAACCTAACGGACCAGCTGCAAAACACACAAATGTGCGTAAGCATATATGGATGTGTGTGTATTCAATGTAAACATGATTGTAAACTGCGACGAGCCCTAAAAATAAATTCCTATGTTCGTTCATTCATATGTATATATGTACATACATATATGTGTAACCAAAATATTTAATTTCGCGAAGGTCGATTTTCCTTATCTGTGTAGGCACGTTTTATATTGTGATATGTATATACATACATATATACATATGTATACGGATGACATTACTCAAAACCCTTCAAATGTGCTGTGGCTTACATACATATGTGTATTATTATATTTATGATTTTACTTAAACTTATATACATTCTTTTACCTGTTGCTGCATCTTGTTGCTACATATGTACTTGTAGAAAGTTCGGTGGGTAGCCAGGTAGAATACATTGCTGCACCTGTTCTGGATTAAATGCAGCAGTTCGTCTTACTCTGTGTGGATGTGCTCGTAAGTACATATGTACGTATTACATACATACATACGTGCATATGTAATATAAAAGTGCTCGACAAATAACGGTCTCTAGTGAGTAATTGGATTTGTTCTCTTTGGTTAATGACTTTCGAACTTTGAAACGAGTAATAACCCATCGAAAGTTAAAGTTGATATCAGTCATTGGATATATATGTACATATATGTACATTTATATATCAGACATATGTATGTATATACTAGATCATTTATTGGATTGCGATTTTTTCTCGATTTTTAATTTTGTATGTGAATACATATGTATGTGCTCGAATATATGTATATACTGTACATACATAGTATATACATACATGTTAGTCAGTGTGTGCTTACAATGGTTCCCAATTGACGTCAATTCAGTTTGGTTCGAGTTTAATAATTCAGCAAAACAAAGTGAATGAGTTTCCTATTAGATTAAAACTAAACATACATATACATTTGTTTGTATGTATATGTGTATATGTGTGTCTCTGGCACATACGCGCCAAATGTGATTATATTTACAACAAATACATACATATAAGCAGCTGTCTTTTGCAAAGTGTGAAGCAGCTTATCAGCTCGTTTCATTGTGACTCTTAAGGTCTTTTTACACATTTGACCATAATAAATTAGATATATTTAAATACATATACAAAAAGAAAATATAAATATAATTCGCACAGTTATTGGGCCTACTATAGCTATGGGAATTGTCTTAAGAACCCTAAACAAAACAGTTACAGTTTCACAATTGAATGATATTTATTTACTTCTGCCCTATATATGTATGTCTATCATTCCTAAGTTGAAATGTATCTTTAAGAGAACTCTAGCTTTGAACGAGAAAATATTATGATAATTTAAAATCAGGGGGACATACATATGCACATATGTCCGTTTTATGTACTTTTAGTATTCTTATTGTAGCCCTAGGAAGTTATTTTAAATCTAAATACATAGAACGTATAATTTAGATGTGATCATCACGTGCATCACGGACAGACAGACAATGGCGCTAGAGATACCTATCTTTCCGTATACCTTTGCTTTAATTTAATATGTATAAGGGATATTACTATGTAATTAAGGGACATTACTTCTTTCTGCATTAGGCTACCATCTGACGTCTGCTTGTTATTTGTGATAGTGGAAATAGTTAAGCCCTTACGTGTGGGAACGGTACATCATACCACCAAAATGTCAAAACATATATATACAAGCACGTAGACTAGCCCCTTATCAGCTGACTTAACAAAAATCTATAATTGAAAAACAGCTACTGCCACACGCAGAAATAGAAGATAGAAGGTTTTGCAACAACAAAACAGCTGTGGAGTACATATGTACACATATACTTAAATAAATAAATATATTATATTCAGCCTATAAATTTAATGGGGATATTGTTTTGCGTAATGTCCGTCCTGCTGTTCTTGGCAAACGAACACAAAGTGGCTTGCCGCTATTTAAAATAGTAATATTTACTAGGATATATACATAAACCTCTATATTTTACTTACCGATTTAGGACGGCCAAGTCGGGAATAGCCTGTGACTTGCATAATATATAATTGATGTAAATTGAATAAAATGTTACTTAATTGATTGTTTTTACGTTTCCTTAAAGGCAGCATGACATCTGACTTCTTCCGTGTGGTAAACGAGGCTCGCCGTCATTCGCTTGGACCATTCAGTCCGTCATTTAACATACAAACTTGTTTGCTAGAAGGACTTCAGAAACACCTCCCCGATGACGCACATAAGCGCGTCAGCGGACGCCTGCACATTTCCTTAACGCGCGTTTACGATGGAAAGAACGTGATAATTTCTGATTTCAAGTCGCGCAAAGAAGTGTTGGACGCTCTACTTTGTGCCTGCTTTATTCCTGGCTTTTCCGGAATTTTGCCACCACGATTCCGTGGCGTGCGCTATATGGATGGTGCATTTTCAGATAATTTGCCAATACTAGATGAAAACACAATCACTGTAAGCCCTTTTTGCGGCGAGAGCGATATTTGTCCACGGGACCAGAGCTCACAATTATTTCATCTAAACTGGGCCAATACAAGTATCGAAATATCACGACAAAACATCAACCGCTTTGTACGTATTTTGTTTCCGCCGAGAGCAGAGTTCCTGTCCAAATTTTGTCAGCAGGGATTCGATGATGCACTGCAATTTCTCAATCGTAACAACTTGATTAACTGCAGACGGTGTGTAGCCGTTCAGTCCACATATGTAGTTTCTGAAACTGTTGAATCATCGTTAGAGACTGAGTCAGAGTGCCGTGAATGCAAAAAACATAGAACGGTATGATCTAATATACATATTTAGAAATGTCACTGTTTTCAAACATATTTTGCAGGATGCGTTGAGTTCCAACTTGCCAGAAACAGTAATGGTGGTTATACAAGACTATATAGAGCAGGCGAACAAAGGCTTGGCCAATTGGATTTTCAAGCACCGGAGCATGAAATTGCTTTCACTGCCAGCTACCGTACCGATGGACTTTTTCCTGGCTACAATTTCAAAGTGTGTTATATCGTGTTTCTAAGTGATTGGCTCTTATTAATTTTTAATGAACGATTAATTTGTTTTTCAGGCTCACTACTCTTACGCCAAAATTGACTAAACGAATGTGTCACATGGTAGAAGAGTTTATTGATCAGCTAAACAATACCATGACAGTTCGTTTTCTTAACAAATTTACGGTAAGTAATTAGTTATGACCGATCTATGGTATTTCAAAATACAATTATTAATATATTTAAATTGCCACACAGCTTTACGATCAGCCTCATTTCGATGCGACTGGCCTATTGCATTCCAGCCGTCTTTGTGGGCCGCAGGTTTCAATTCTGGTCGATGAAGGGTAATAAAATATGGAACTCCTTAAATTAAATTATTGCAATCAAAGTCTCTTTTACATAGTGTCACAACCCCACTAGACAGAGAAGTTGGGCATGTTCTTGAGATGTCTACGTACTGCGACTCGCTATATTCGTATTATTATACAGATATTGATACCAACAAGCTGCAAGTAACCGAAATATTCGATATTGAACACATGACGAACACCGATTTGCAAGCATATGATAGGACAATGGACCATCTGCCTGTAGCACATCAGACATATAATCCTGAATGGGACGGAATACAAGCGGGTAAATAACAAAAAAATGTACATTGTAAAAATCATTATATATCAGAAGTTTTTTTTTGACTGTATTACAGTTAAAATTATGTCAACCACACCTGAACTACACGATGTTGCATTTTAAAATCTACCTAATTTGTCGCGAAAACTTTAATCTAATTTTAAAACTCCGCTTTAAAGGTAAATTCTACATTTCCATTTAATATTATTTTATAATAATTGGAAAATTTCCACATCTTTTCTTGTTATAGTTGTACAATCATCCCTTGCAGAAAAAGTATCACACCACCATAACCAAATATCCTGAGGCTGCGAAAAGTTTGCCTAGTTTGTATATATGAATTATATATAAACAAATTTTACACACAAATTAGTTAGTCTCTATAATTAGTAATACAAATCCCAAAGTGGCTTGTAGCCAAGCATTTCATAGTTGCACCTAAATTAAGTTTTGTACAGTATGGTTTATTCTCTAAGTTATAAATACAAAGTATCATATTGCGATAAGTAGATTGATGAACTAAAATTTAAATGTAAAATTCAATAAATTAAAATGGGCATTAATCGTATGTGTAATAAAAAACAAGTATAAAAACTCTAGTCGAGACTGCTCGACTAGGAGATACCCTGAACCCTCCAATCTGAT